GGGGTTTGGGGCTTTGGGGTTTTTGGGTTTTGGGGTTTAGGGGTTTTAGGGTGTCAGGGTTTTAGTGTTTAGGGTTTTAGTGTTTAGGGTTTTAGGGGTTTTAGGGTTTAGGGTTTAGGGTTTTAGTGTTTAGGGTTTTTAGGGATTTAGGGTTCTAGGGTTTAGGGTTTTAGCGTTTAGGGTTTTAGGGTGTTAGGGTTTTATGGTTCAGGGTTTAGGGTTATGGGTTTTCAGGATCTAGGGTTTATAGGATGTATCGTAGGGTTTGGGATTAGGGTTTAGGGCCTAAGGCTTCGAGTTCAGGGTTTAGGGTTAAGGCTCTACAGGATCTAGGGTTTACAGGATGTACTGTAGGGTGCTGGCTTACGGGATGTAGGGTTCAGGGCTTATAGGATTCAGGGTCTAAGGTTTACAGGCTTTAGGGTTTAGGGTTTCACAGGATTCAGGTTATGGCTTTGTGGTTTACAGGATTCGGGGATTGTAGTAGGTGCCAAACCCCCATAATAGTTAAGTGGCCTAGGAATGAAGGGTCCAGGGGTATGGGTTTAGGTTGGACGTTTGTTTTCGTTACAAGGATTATATGAGCTCTAGTCTAAACTCCTTAACGGGGCGTTATATAGGGGATTGTATAGGGGACTACTATAGGGCGTATTAAGGGGGATACTAGGAGTTTAGACTATAGCTCATATTGGATACAGGGGCTTAGGTGCTTAGGCTTTGGGGCTTAGGGCTTGGGACGTCAGCGTTTGGGGCTTAGGGCTTAGGGATCAGTACCCCAACTAATGAAAATCCAACGGAGAAGTAAATGGAAGATGACATGGAAACTGGCGATGCATGGGGCTTATCTGGCTGGGATTCAAGGATGGCATAGTGGGTTACTATAATTCACTAGGGATCTATGGTAACTAGTAAGGCCTACCTATCAAGGCAACTAAGTATTGATTCCTGTACCACAACCCAGTTGTGTCCAGATTCACAGGGCCCAGGTAGCGAACCTTCCAAATTATGACCATGTAACATCCCGAGTGGTCCGTAAGTATACGCGCGGGGCAAAACTTCGCAATTTTAAGTGCGCTGTCTTGAGGCTACGCGCAAGGCGCTGGACGCAATGTCCCGCGCTCAGTATTCTGCATTAAACCCCTAAACCCTACACCCTAAACCCCTACTCCGAAACTCCTAAACCCTAGATCCTAAGCCCCTAAACCCTACACCTTAAACCCTAAACCCTCAGGCTACTGTACGTATACCTGGGATGGGTGCTCCCCACTTCCCTGCTGCAAGGAGGCAAGGCTGAAATGAGGCCGCGGTTTAGGGTTTAAGGTTTTTAGGGTTTAGGGTTTAAGGTTTAGGGTTTAAGGTTTAGGGTTTAGGGTTTAGGGTTTAGGGTTTAAGGTTTAGGGTTTAGGGTTTAGGGATGGGTTGCTGTTAAAGAACCGCAACTAGGTTGGCAGAATGGATGTATATATATACATATTTATATATGTGTATATATGTATATATGGTCTCCCCAATATAGAAACTGAAGTTAAGTTCCTTAAATCACAATCTTCCCCCAGTTTCCATTTAATTTCAATGTTCTTTTCCATTTGATTCTCCATCATAGGGAGATCCTTAACAGCAACCCAGTAAACCCTATACCCTAACCCACAACCCTAAACCCTAAATTCTAAACCCTAAACCCACGACCCACAACCCTAAACCCCTAACCCTAAACCCTAAACCCCAAACCCTAAGAAGGGGGGGCCACCCCGTTTTGAGAAGCACCCATATTCCGGAGCTAGGTGCGGACTGGCCCAAGCCGCTGCCAAAAGCCAGGCCTGATAATAAAACTCACAGGGTTTAAGGTTTGACGTTTAGGGCTTAAGGTTTAGGGTTTAAGGTTTTCGGGTTTAGGGTTTAAGGTTTAGGGTTTAGGGTCTGCCTACTGTTTTGGGTTTGGAGTTAAGGGCTCAGGGTTTTTTGCATTTCAACTTTGTGGTATTGGGGTATACCCCCCAAACTTCACTCTGTATTGCAACGAATTAAAAGGGCCCCGGCCATAGATATTTCTGACAAGAAGTAGGCCGCAGTAGGCCTCCACAAAATCGTTGAGACGGGCCATTGAATCCCTTAGTTTTTTGTTTTTTCTTCTTCTGGCCTTTGGTTAGCTAGGAATGAAGGATTGGATCCTTATAGTAATCCCTATATAACCCATTATTGTAGTTTCCATTTTCTTGTCCATGACCCCTATAAAACCCCAAAACATACCTTACAATTCCTGTATAACCCTTACATAAGCCCTATAATCCCCGTAGTTTCCATTTTCTTCTCCATTCCGTCATTCCCAGCTAACCAAAGGCCAGGTACATCTTCCTTAGCTCTGGGGGGATGCCTGCATTGTCTAAAGAAGTCTAAGGATTTTCGGCCCTAAGCCACAGGGTTTAGGGTTTAGGGTTCAAGCCTTGTAGTCCCTCTTGCGTAGATAGAATATAGGGTATATGGGGATCTTATGAAAATATACCCAAAGCCGAGACTACAAGCTCTAAACCCTCCGCAAAACAGTCCAGTTGTCGTAAGTGTGAGTGTACACGTCGCTTACAGGCTGGGGGGAGTATCTGGGGGCTTGCGACTCTTGAGGGGCTTAAAGGGGACTTGAATATGCTCATCTCGGTGGCACTGCGGGAAAATTGTTCATTTCCCTGATTATAGCAGAAGGGATTTTATTCATAAATAGTTTTGGGGCATTTAAATTACCACCCAGTCCTGGGGTTTAGATACCTGGTTGGGGCTAAGTTGAGGATGCTAATCCCCAAAGCCTAAACCCCAAGACTGCTACCCCGTTTACCAACCTCAAGCCCTCAGAACCTGAACTCAATCTTAGGGTTCAGTGTTTAAGGTTTTAGGGCCATTGCATTTCCCTTCAGCCCATCTACCTCGCCTCATACCCTGGTGTATATGTACCAGGCTGTTCAACGGGATGGGCAGTCCTCTGCCGATTCGAAAAATCGATGGATAAAATCTTGCAGGACCAGTTGTACATAAAACCCATAGTGCAGGTCATGCAGAGTTTTGTCAATCAACAGTGTCAAAGCCTTAGAAACCTTGCGAATGTGTCTCAGATTTCTTGAAGCGCAGTGCAGCTGGCTCACATTCCAAACCCCCCGAGTGCAATTCTCTTTTGCAGGTTTAAGATAGTCCTGTGGTTTAGTATTACTTTTATTACTACTGCCAATAATTACTAGCATTAGTATTACTATTTCTATTCCTATTGATTATTTCGATTGTTTCCCATTATTTATTGCTATTATTAATTACTATTCTTACTAACAGTAACGGCTGCAGAGCTGGGCTCACACGCCGCCATGTCCATAACGCTGCATGTGAGCCTGCTGAGTGGCAGGACATTCTCAGCGGAAACCGAGCTTGATGTTGGCGTTGCGACGTTTAGGGAGCGTGCGCAAGCCGCACTGTCAGTCGGCAAGGGCAGGCTTGTTCACTCGTGCGGCTTGGCATTGGATGGAGCATCGACCTTGAGAGAATGCGGCTTGCAGAATGGCGATGTCCTAAATCTGCAAGTGCTGCCAGTGACGATACAGGCTTCCAGAGCACTGGATGGCGCAGCATTTGCTGCCATCCTTGGCGATGGGTCTGTTGTGACCTGGGGTCGTGCTGATTAGGGTGGCAACAGTAGTGTGGTGCAACAGCAACTGCGTAATGTGCAGCAGATTCAGGCCTCAAACCGAGCATTTGCTGCGATCCTCGTGGATGGCTCCGTGGTGACGTGGGGCCAGGCTGGCTTTGGTGGCTACAGCGGGGTTGTACAAGGTCAGCTGAGAAATGTGAAGCAGATTCAGGCCGCTGAGTGGGCATTTGCTGCCATCCTGGCTGGTTAAGCAGATTCAAGCCTGTCAACGGGCTTTTGCGGCCATTCTTGCGGATGGATCTGTAGTTACCTGGGCGATGCTCACCAAGGTGGAGACAGCAGTGCTGTCCAAGATCGACTGAAGAATGTGCAGTACGTTCAAGCCTCTGGTTGTGCATTTGCAGCTATCCTTGACGATGGGCGCGTGGTGTCCTGGGGTCGTGCTGACTTTGGTGGCGACAGCAGCTCTGTGCAACATCAGCTGGTCTATGTGCAGCAGATTCAGGCAAATACGGGTGCGTTTGCTGCTATTCTGGCTGATGGGTCCGTGGTGACTTGGGGCCACGTTGGCTTCGGTGGCGACAGCAATCTTGTGCAAGATCAGCTGCGGAATGTCAAGCAGATTCAAGCCTCTCATGATGAGTTTGCTGCCATTCTTGCAGATGGATCTGTGGTGCGCTGGAATGCGCCTGCGCCTGCTGGCAACAGCAGTGATGACAGCAGATCTGCCGATGAAGGCCTTTGCGTTGGCGATGGAAATAATATGAAGAGGAAAAGGAGGGGTAGGAGCAATAATAATATCAACAATAGTAATAATGATACTGATCTGTCTTGACCCAGGGCCTTGCTGAACACATCCCAAGAATAGAGAATCAAACGGAGAATAGAATGGAAAATTACATCGAAACTACTATCATGGGGTTATATAGGGTTTAGGGTTTAGGGCTTAGGGATATGGTCCCCCAAGAATGGAGAATCACCATGGAAAAGAACGTGGAAACTCGGATTATGTAAGGGCTGTAAGGATTACGGTGTCCCAAACTTGGGGGGTCCCCCAAAAAAGGAGTTTAGTATTTTGGGGTCTATATTGCACCCCCCCCGCCCCGCCTATTTAGGGAAACTACCATAGAGTGGTGACAGCACTGCTCTCCAAAATCAACTGAGCAATGCGCGGTAGGGGCCTGCATGATTTCCAGGCCATTTTGAGATCTTGTTGGGCTGGCCTGAACTATAAGGATACACAAGAATCTAGGGAAAAAACGTTGGTAAAAATCCCTATAAGTCTCCTGCATGATCCCGGTTTCCATCTCATGTTTCGTCTTCTTTTCCCTTAGTCTTACCACACAATATATATATATATACGTGTATATGTCTATACTCTTAGAGTCTAAGCCCGAAACCCTAAGCCGCATATACCGCCTAAGCCCTATTATCTCTGGTATTTCTTTAGACCCCTACATCTAAGAAAGTTTCAGGTGGGTTGCTTTCCCCCATATAACCCTCATATAGTCCTAGGGGGCCTAGGCGTGCCCATATAAATCTGATATGAGCCCAACCTATACCATAAACCCCAAATGTAACTCCTTGGGACTTAGCTTGGACCTTAGACCCTGAACCCTTTGGGATTCCCGTATATTCTTATTATAGGTAATTAAGGGTTAACCCTTAGTAGGGGTCCTAAGTGCCACGTAGGTAAGGGTACCCACCTGGTAGCTACCCACCTGAGAAGTCCTTTAACTACAGCGACTCAATGCCTCGGAACGCAGTTTAGGAGTTAGGTTTTAGGGTTTAGTGTTTAAGGTTTAGGGGTTAGGGTTTAGGGTTTAGGGTTTAAGGTTTAAGGTTTAAGGTTTAGGGGTTAGGGTTTAGGTTTTAGGGATTAAGGTTCAAGGTTTAGGGTTTATATTTTAGATTTTAGTGTTTAAGGTTTAAGATTTAGGGGTTAGGGTTTAGGGCTCAAGGTTGACAAACGACCTTACCGGACCTCAGCTTCATGGTGTTTTATCAAGAGGGCACTCCTTTGTTGGGTTAGTCTGAGGTTCTGAACTTGGTAATGATGGAAAAGCAAGAAAATAGAAAAACGGCAGCTACTAATTTAGGATGTAGGGCTTAGGGCTGGGGATCTAGGATTTCGGGAATGAAGAATGGAAAAGAAGCGGAAGCTAGTATAAGGTTATATACGGTGTTGCCAAGGGCTGCTAAAGGGATACGTTGCTGTATGTGTTCCTACCCTAAGCTCCAGACACTAGCCCTAAAACAAACCATACAGGAAGGTCTCCAGAGCCTCTTTGATTGCAATGCCAAAGAATGCTTGCTGAAAGGATGTTGACGTAAGGGGTGTTGAAGTGCGCATCAGAAGGTGCAGTATGTAGGCATTACGTAGGGGTCAGGGGCCTTGAGTAGTTTAGGGTATACAATCAGACGAACATAGAAGCCCAAGCGGGACCCGACAAAGACCCTGTTTGTCTAGGCGAGGCTAGGTTACCCTAACCCCGAAGCCCTAAGTGTTTCCCTAAACCCCTAAACCCTAAACCCCTAAACCCTAAACATACCCTCAGCCCTACACCTACACCTTAAACCCCAAGCCCTAAACCCTAAACCCTCAGCCCTAATGGCCTTCAATGGAACTGGGACTTGTCTTGTGCCCTTGTGGGAGGTCAAGGGCTTCTTGTAGGGCCTCGAACTCATAGAGGGTTTGGGGTGTAGGCTTTAGGAATTATGGGGTGTAGGATTTAGGATTTAGAGTTTAGGATTTGGGGCTTGGGATTTTTTCAGCATCAAGCTGCGACCCTGAATTCAACTTCTCATCGATGTCACTTCCCTCACAGAATCGCAACACAGAATACGGAGACTTTCCCAAGCTCAACTTTTCCGAGAAGCCCAATGCAAGTCATATTCAGGATCCGAGTATGCTCTAAGGTTGGCTCTCAGGTATATAGTCCCCCTTAAGTAGATAGAATATGGGGTATATGGGGATCTTAGTATAATACACCCAAAACCATATTCTATCTACTTAAGGGGGACTATATTCCTGAAGCTGACTTTCAGACCACCAGGGCGGATACAAAAATGCTGCACGACCCAGAGTCGCTTTGTCACGCAGAACTTTACTGGATCAATGTTAGGGATCCTTTATACTTTTTGGAGTATGGGATTTCTTCTGTTTAAGTAAAAAGGATCCTTTTTTCTTCCGAGGCTAGTGTGGGCTAAGTTTATGGGATCCTGTACTACACCCTCCTCACCCCTCCTTCCCCCAAAAAGGCCTAAATACTAGACCCCCTTCGCTCCCCGTCCACCCAATTAGGCTTAAACCAACACGTTTGTAGGCCGCATTGGGAAGTAAGTTTGGGGCCAGCATCGGATCCCATCACATCAACTGCATCTCACCTACCCTGGCTACACAACCCTAAATCCTAAACCCTATACCTACCTAGAAAACCAGTTACCCATAATCATAGGCAACTTTCCCCTGATTTCCTACTACTTTGGGTTAAAGTAGCCCATTATTATGGGTAATTAGGCTTTCTAGGTAAACCTTCACCCAATAAACACCCCCCCCCCCTGGCAGGCCAGCACGGTGCGCAAGGACCGCGGCTTTCCGAGGGTCTATGAAAGTCGTGGGCCGCATTCGGTTTTTTTCTGGGAATCATTTGGGCCCTTAAAAGGGATTATACAGGGTTTAGGGTTTAGGGTAATTCCCAAGATTAGGATTCCCTTTTGGTACCCCTAAATATGACGTGCCGTAATATAGTGTACAACCAAAAGGAGCCCATGATTTTGTTTAATAGTTTCGTGGACTACCCGAGTATGTAGAAGAATGTTCATTTTGACTGCTTCATGGATTGCATGGGTCATTGGCCATAGCTTTGCCGAACAATCTTTAATGAGGGCACTACAGTCTGCTTATGTTCCCTACATCCCAAGGGTCTTCGGAAGTACCACTGTGCGGGTGACACACTCATGCAAGTTGCTGGGTTGGGTTTGATGGTTACAGAACAAGCGTGTGGTCGAAGCAGACTGTGAATTGGGTGAAGGGTACGTGGTTCAGGGTTGAGGAGCCGTTGGGGCCAAGGCTACATTTGCAAGCCCTTCAATATGTTGACATGGCAATTTCTCAAACTGCGCTGCACATAATCCCCAATGTGGACTCCCAGAATCCCTTTATGATCACCACACGTCAACATCCAAAGCGTACTCTCCTAGGTAAACCCTACGCCCTAAAGCCCTTTATCCCACAGACACACTCTCTTCTGAAACGTGAGCCCCATGCAAGTATTTGGTAGTTTCATGCATAGGGGGGCCCGCTGCGCACCCGAATATACTAGAATCTACTAGAACCTATAGCCACCACCAAAAAGGGGCTACCCTAAAGTATCGAAACTCCCACATCCCAAGGGTACCCCACTTCAGACAAAACTGCACAGGAAAGCCGGGACAAGGCGAAAGACCGCATCAGGGGGCGGCAGAAAGAGGCGCCACAGTTCAGGGGATCCTGGCTTGATAGCAGTAACAGCAATCATAATCATGGTAGTAATAATAAAGTGATGATAACGGTAATATTAAGTCATAGATAGTAGCAGTAGTTTTAAGATGGTACCCGGATTCTTCAAGTATGTAGAATGATGTGATGTTGATTGTTTGTAGGGGTTTTGGCCATTAGTGTACCAATTTTTGAGGTCTAGGCGGCGGCAGCAGGAGCAGCAGGAGTAGGAGTAGGAGTAGGAAGCAGCAGCAGCAGCAGGAGGAGGAGGAGGAGGAGTAGTAGTAGTAGGAGTAGTAGTAGTAGTAGTAGTAGCAGGAGTAGGAGTAGTAGGAGTAGTAGGAGTAGTAGGAGTAGTAGGAGTAGTAGGAGTAGGAGTAGGAGTAGGAGTAGGAGTAGGAGTAGGAGTAGTAGTAGGAGTAGTAGTAGTAAAACATGCGACTAGACTGAGACATACATACGTATACTCATACAAAT